GTCAGGCCCCACTAGTTGCCATTTTGTAAAACCTGCTTTAGAATATCATTCCCTTCATCCATTCACTTCTAAAGTGAATGGCCCATGAATTTCAAAAAAGTGAATGGCCCATGAATTTCAAAAAATAAAACAAGCAACAACGCAAAACGAGCGCAAACTAGTAACTAACTTAGGTGGTTAATCCAATTAACACGCCTAATTAAAACTACTCAAAGTTGTAATCCGATTATGTGAATTAACGCAATAATAATAGCTCAAAACGATTAATGAAGCTCCCAGTAAATTCCACATCAAACTTAATTAAAATTAATCCAATTAATATTAATTAAGCTGGTTAACCCAAAATTTTACCAAATTATTTTCCAAGTGTCGGGAAAAACCGAGGCCTAGCCTCGTTTAAAGTAAAACACAAAACTGCAAAATAAAAACGAGGAAAAAATGTCTCGGGCTAACCAAGGCTAGCAGCCCCAGCCTTCGTGCGCATGCAAGTGCTAAGCGTTGCCTAGCAGCCTCGGCCTTGCATGCCGAGAGCGCCCAGCGGCCCTCACTCCATGGCGTGCCATGGTACTCTCTCGCACGCACGCCCTCCCGCACCAAGCTGCTGCTGCTTGCACACACTCACGCACAAGCATGGTGCATTCCCTCGGTAGCAACATGCGGGCTACACAAGCAGCCCCGCTAGCCTCGGAATTTTATTTCGATTTTTGTGTGTGACGTTAAAATTAATTTTAAATTGATTTTTGAACCAATATTTAGCAATATTGAAAATAAAACAAGTCCAACTTAATTAAACTCAATTTTAGTGCAAAAACATAAATTAATTCAAGAACTATTCTTTAAATTATTTTTTGCTCAACTTGATGCTACAAAAATTGAGGGCTATTCTCACAATTAATTTAATCAATCATAAATTAAAGATGAGATTTGAAAAAATGGTTGGAAAAATAAATAATCATCCAATGAAAAAATTTATTTAACACTTACTTATGCGCATTTGAATATTGTAATCTTCCAATATGAAGAACAATAATATTTCAAGCACAAGTATGAACTTCTAAGATTTTAATCAACTTAAAAATGATTAAAACCAAAAATTAGTTCATTATGGATTTTAGTAAGTTAAGATCCAACCAAATAAACAATTAAAGATTGAATCTTTAACATTTTAGGGGCTTCAAAAATACATATTCACCATAAATATTCACACTCCAAACAATTAATTTGCAAAAATGTGATTACAAGTTTGTGTGAAATTAAGAGGTCACCAAATTAAGCACCAATTATGACTTCATAAACATGCTTAATAAGGGTTAAAATTGCAAAAGATTAATGGTATAATCAAACACATAATCCAACAATTGCATGCCATAATTAATCAAGGTTTAAAGATTTAAAAAAATTTCGTACAAAACAAAAAACCCCTCGAAAAACCACTTTCTGGGTGGATTTTGGCTTCTAGAAGGTCATTTTTAATCAATTTGTGGGTAAAGAATGATTTAGAACGTCGATTCCACCCAAAATTCACTAATTTTGATTCAAAATCGGAGTTCATAGGCAAAAAAAAAAGGATAAATACGATTTTAATCCAATTAAAAAACAAGCTCCTAATCTAATTAGGATGCTAAACCAAAAATTGAAATCCATTTAAATTACCTTAATTAATTAATTTTAGTTGTAAAAATTAAATGCAAGAAGCTCTTATATCGTTGTTGGGTTTTACGGAGTCTGACACCGCGCGGAAACAAAACCCGATAACCAGATCGCATGCATAATAATTACAATATTAACAAAAGCATGAAAATAAAAAAAAAACACGAACATAAGAGAAGATAGAGAAATAATACTCACCCTAGAAGCGTGCTTCGCTAAACCGATGAGCTCGGACTTGAAAGCTTCAAGATCCACAAGTGTGAAACCTCCGACGGCTCACACCCTCGCTACCGAACCATAACCGGCCCCTACCCCGTAGCTTAGACGGGACTAACCAAAATAACTTAGAATTTACGAACAAAGGTTTTCTCGCTTTTGGAGATCCCTTAGAGTTCACCAACTCAAGTGAAATTCCCAATACCAAATGAGAGGTATTTATAGGGAATTGTTCCCAAGAATTCCCATCATCTTTCATTGTGGGATAGTTGGTAAAAAGGAAAAAATAAGACTTAATTTAATTCTAAATTAAATTAAAAAGTCAAAACAATCACCAAACAACAAGTGTCACAAGGAGAACAAGGGGGATAGGTGAGGACCACAAGGGGAAGACCACCTTCCCCTTGCTCCCCAAGAAAACCCACCAAAACCGGCTCTCACCCACACCAACCATAGTGCACCAGCTGGCGCCTGGCCTTAGGAACCAAAGCACGCCAAGCTGGCGAGCTGGTGCTTGCCTGGGCCTGCTATCTGGTTTGCGTGTGTACGTGTTCGAGCAAGCCTTGCGCGCTTGCAAGCTGCTGGGCGCATAGTGCTAGCAGCAGCTAGTGAGGCCCAACATTGCTTGCTAGCGCTGCTACCTTGCTGGCACGCTAGCATGCTAGCTATTTGTGCTAACGAGCTGGCGCTGCTAGCATGCCTAGCGATGCGCGGCTAGCCTTGCTGGCCTTGCCTTGCCCGCAAGGCTTGCTCTACCAGCAAGCCTGGCCATGCGTTGCATGCTGGGATTACGGCTGAGCCTTGCCTTGCGGCAAGGGATTTGGCTAGCCATGCTAGCCCACCTAGCCCTGTATTGGCTAGGCCGTTTCGAGGCTAGGATTTTCACTTGCGTTGGCTTGTTTGATTGATATTTCCATCTCGGGTCATAAATTCGACTCGACTTTCGACACTCTAAGCTCGGAATCCAATGGCTAGTTTGTAAAATCTCTATTGACACATCTAATCCTTCGGATTAATTCGTCACTTGGGTTCGGTTACACAATTGGATGTGACCCAAAGTGTTTAGTCAAGAACAAGCTGTAATATTAATTATACATTAATATTACTGATCGAAAGCAGCCTTTAGCTAAACATTCCAATCACTTGACCTCATTGAATAATTAGCTTTCCTAATTAATTCTAAACCCTCTATCGAAATAATGCACTTGTTCGAAGGACACCATTCCTTTCAATTGAATCAAATGAAAGTCAAACGTATTTTAACAAAGCTAATTGAATAAAATGAAAGTTAAATGCATTCAACAAAGAAAGTCAAACACATTCAAACAAATCTTTTCGAATAAAATGAAAGTCAAATGCTTTCAACAAAGCTATTTGAATCAAATGAAAGTCAAACGCATTCAAACAAAGCTAATCAAATCAAATGAAAGTCAAATGCATTCTACAAAACTAATTGAATCAATTGAAAGTCAATGCATTCAAAAAAGCCTTTTTTAAATCAAATGAAAGTCAAATGCATTCACCAAAGCTAATTGAATGAAAGGAAAGTCAAACACATTCAAACAAAGCTTTTTGAATTGGTGATGATTTGATCCTATTGAGAGCTCTCATTATTGTTTATTGTGTGTATCCACTCCTTAAATTATAAGGAGCTCCTCTTTTGCAATGTTAAGGTGTCTCTTGAATCTTTATATATTATGGTTTTGAAATTAGTCTACTAGTATTTTTTTTAAAAAAAAAAATAAAAATAAAAATAAAAATTGTGTATTATTATGTTGCACTAGTGTTAAGTGCTGTAAAGGCTTATGTGTTAAAATTCTATTTATCCTTTATTTGTTGTTTTAAGGTCTAGGCTTCTAGTGGCAAGTTTATTTTTTTTTGTATCGTGTCTTGTAAACTCTAATTTATTTTTGTTAATTTAGCCATTTAAAAAAAAAATCTAATAAAATTGTGTTTACTTGATCTTAGTAATATCTTGTGGGGTCTACCTTCATGTATTTGCAGACTGAACAAATGTTGCTCCATGACCAACTTGTTGGTTAAAGAGCTTCTAAGACCTAGAACTAAGAAGTAAAAGTATATAGTTTGTTGACAATGGTGTATAATGTCGAATTTAGTTCTTCAATCAATTGATTAGATTGACTAGATCTGTGTCTTCGTTCATTCTTACAAAGAAATGAAGGAGAGAAAATATTTAGAAAATCATTTTTACATTGTTACAAAATTGTAATTAGTTATACAACCAATTGTTGGTGCATAACCTGCTAAAAATATTGATAAGCACGACCAACATTACTCTTTATGTAATTTTATATTCTAAATGTAAAAAGTTATTTAGCTAATTCCTATACTTTTATTGACAACATAAAACTTGAACGTTGTAATGGAACGAAGTTTATGCACTAGTTTCCATAAGCCATAATAAGAAGATGGAATCGTAAATCTTCCCTAAATCTTAAGAATATATACAACATGGAGTTATGAATTGCATGTGATCAATTGATTGTAGGAAGAGTGGATGGCCAACGTGCAACCCATGTGATATGGGCTAACAAGGGTCCCGCCGCACTTCACTTCGACACTTCGCCCATCTTATGTTTTTGAAATTAAAATTAAATATCAAAGGGCAAATAAGGTCATTAAGACTCCATGTTCATCCCCTCACTCTAAGAGGGCGTTTGGTTAGTGTATTTTTTGAATTGGAAACGGATTCAATTAAACCGGTACCGTTACCGTGTGTTTGGTTTGAAGACATTGTAACAATTACCATTATCCTTAGGTAATGGTTACCCCTCATTTACTACCTCTCAAAAACTTGGGGTAACAAATACCCTTACCCTCCTCTTAACAAATACCCTTTTCATGATTAAACCAAACAAATGAAAAGGTAATATTTAAATGATTCCTTTCCCCCGTCTTATTTGTTTCCTTTTCACTCCGTTTTCATTTTTCATTTTACTCTTCTAGACTATCCCTTTTGTTTTTTTTTACTAGACATTTTACAAACATAGGAAAATATAATAATATTGGGAACATGGATGATATTTAATAATAATGGAAGATCCGTTACTAACATGGTTGGTAATAATAAAAATTTAAAAAGTTTATAACATTTGATCAAATACAACTAAAAATTAACCAAGAACATCACTTGCTAATATTAAAAGTTATAGTTTACACTTCAAACTTCATTTACCACTAACTAATTCTATTTCTCTGAATAAATTACCAAACTAAATATTCTTCCACACACTCCATAATTGATTTCTAATCCTGTAAATCAAATAAGAAATCCTTAAAAAGGAGTAAGGATAAAAAAAAAAAAATAATCAAGTACAATAAAACAAAGCATTGTTTACTGTGTAATAGTTGACAAAATATAGCTACAATTTTTCCCATGTATGGTACAAAATGCAGAAGGGTTTAGCCCAATTTTTCTGCCTTGTTGTTGTCTACCACGAGAGTGCTCGCTCGAGGCGTGCATTCGAGGAAGGAGATTGAATCGATCAGTGGTGTGGAGGAAGAGGCGGTGGAGAAGCACCGGAAGGATGTATTGGTGGAGGATTACACTGGTAACACTTAGCAAAGAGTCCAAAAGTGTCAACCTGCCTTACAAAGTTGGTCATGCTAGCCCATCCTCCGAAACCAAATCCTACTATCAATACCCAAACAACTATAAACATATTCACTGCGTACATTCCTGCCCAACTTGGAAAGAAGGATGGAGGCTTCTCTGCAGCATTCTGCAACAGCAAAAAGAATTACAAAGTTATTTTTTAAATTATTTTCTTGCCCTTTATGTAAGTCTTTTGCTAGTTTGTTAAGAAACAAATTAAGAACAAATGGAGAAGGAGACAAGGATAACTAAAACTGGCTGACTTGGTCAAACTTTTGACCCAAAAGCTGATTTTGGTGCTAAAATTATTTAAATAGGTGCAAAACAAATTCCAAATACAAGAAAAAACTCACCTTGACCAATTAAAGGATAATTAAGCGTATCACATTGACTTTTACATTATTTATATATAAAATACTAATTTTATTTCAAAATATATAAAATACTAACTTTAATTCAAAAATATTTGATTCGTACGGAGGTTAAAATTTTTTGTGATAAAAAAAAAAGTTATTGTATATATAAAAGAATAAATTAACTAATTTCATGCGTGAAAACACTAATTCTTTAAATGATTATAAATATATTAGGTTACTTTTATGGAAAAGTTTATGAAGCTAAAAATAGAAATATAAATACTTAACGTTACTATAAATGATCAACGTGTAATTATGTCTAAAATTATTAAAAAATTAGTAATTACTCAAAAATCTCTAGAGATACACAGCAAGATTTGGTTCTTTCATTAAGAGCCAGAATCTTAAAGATATATGGTATTTATGAGGTGACATGTAATAAATCTATTGAGAGTTATGGGCAACTATAAAAAGTTATAAAAAAGTATATATATAAAAAAGTATATGTTATTATGTAAATAGGAAAAAGTCGAAAAATGCCAGCTCACAGAAGATATGAGACCAATCTGATCATGTAGATACCATATCAGATAATGGAGTAATAATTACTAAATGAAGATGACAGCCCTTTCTTTCCTTGGATCTACTCCATATATCTTTTTTGAGTTTTGACTTTCACATGTTTTCCTATCACTTTGTAATTGTATAAAAATCACAGTCATTAAATGCCCAATCAAACAATTGTTGAGGTTAGGGAACATTAGAATAAGAATCCCCAACTAAAGCGGGTCACTTACCAGCTCATTCCACTTCTCATTCTTTAATGATTTTATCAATTGCTTACTAGTAGATTGCACATATCCCTTTCACCAAAAACAATTTGATAGGTTTAAGGGGTTAACCTCTTTGTTCTAGCTAATTAAAGTGTGTCCCTTTCTTTTGCCATATAAAAGTGTGATGTTGTTACCAATTGTTATTCTCTATGAAATTAAAATATAAAATAGTAGAAAAATTTTTATATTTAAAGATTAATAAATCCTTGCCAAAAGGAGCATATTAAATTAAGACAAATACAAAAAAAAATAAGGGACACACTAAATTTGGGAAATAGCAAGTATATTTTATTATCAGTCGATGAATAGATTAATTATTTCAGAAAACCAAGGGGGAGTTTTTTTTAAAAAAAAATCTTATATAAACAATAATGTTATACCACGGGTGCATTATTTTTATAAAGCTATATGATACATTACTTACATTAACACGGGTGCATTCTAGTAAACTATTAATCAAAAGTATAATTATTACGACACACCAACTTCAAATATTTAATAAAACATAAGATTACTTTTATTATAATATAAAGCTAGATGCATATTCTCTTGTTGGTTGAAATAATTAGTTGCATTAATAGCAAGAAAGTAAAGGAAATCCATAAACTATAATTTGAAAAGAGAATGAGATAATACCTTTCTGGCGGAGGCGTCTTTATAAGTGAGCATATGGGCAAGAGCTGGGATGATATAGACAGTGAAACTAACCAAGAGGGCACCCACAGCAGAATTAATGGGCCCAAAGAAAGGGAATATAATTGCTAAGAACCAAATTGGTATCACCACTGGAAGCCTTACTAGAGCTCTTAAACATAAACTCTTTGTGTCATGCATTCCAATCACTTTCTCCCATATGAAGTATAATGGTGTACAAGCAAACCCAAATGTAATGAACTGCATGCAAAAGTAAGAAGAATTTGATAATTTAGGTTAATTGATAGAAAACATAGCTCAATGTTTGATATAATAAAATGAAGATCAAAAGTATCGAAAATTAAAACAAGATCTATTTCAAAGGTACTATCTCAGCTTCTTTTTATTGTGTTTGTTTTGACTTTGTACGATATTTAAGGCTTACATTTGACTATTAGTATTTTTAATGAAGTATTAACTAAAATTATAAAAAATTTATAGTGTAAAAAAAACAAATTTTGACAATTCTAAATTTATATGTATTAATGAGAATTTTTGGTTAAAAAATTTAAAGTCTGACCATGGAAGTCAAAACAAGAACGGCAAAAAAGACAGAGGGGTACAAAACCTTTTTTTAACTAGGGAAAGTGCTAAATTTTTATGAATTAATTTTATACTGTTTGTTGCTTCATTTAGCACAACATATGTGTTGGTCATCACACAAATTAAGGAAAATTTAGGAAAGTGGTAGGGATGCATGGACCACTTGATCCATTAGTTAACATTCGACCAGTGAATAAGGAAACCAAATTATAATGTTGCAATTGATCATGATATGAAAATTTAAAAAATCAGAGGTATATATTGTAATGGAACAATAACAAATGAAATATTAATTAATTAGGCAGATTAAATTATTATAGCTTGAACTTATTCTAAATTATTTTCTTCCAATAAGTTAAGTTAATTAAACTAAATGTATTTAATTATATTTAACTAATTGAACTTGTAGGTAGTAAATGATTAAAATCTAATCTTAAATGATTTTCATTAGCCCATTCATACTTTTTAAGTGTTATTTTGTAATTACAGTTTACTTTAACTATTTAATTACACTTTTAAATTTTTTTTATGAACTATAATAGTTGTATGGTACTACGTGAATCATTCTCCTAACTTAGGTAAACTATATTATCGATATTAATCATATTATAGTTAATCTTCAAATTAACTACTTTCATTTGTCCCCATTCTTAATCAATAGTTACTCATCATTGCATTGTAATCAAAAGTAATAGTTGCTTTGCTATTTTTAATTGATAATTGATTAGATATTTCGAAATGACATGCAACATTTATTATAAAAAAAAAAATGAAATTTTTTATAATCAGACAAAAAACTGAAATCGGGGAACAAATGAGTTTACAGTATTAAACAATTATTATTCTCTTCACCCATAATATACAACTTTTAATAATTATTTGGAAAATTGGTTTAAAATAATACCAACTATCAACGGTGTGTGAAAAATAATACGAACTCAACAATTTGTTATTAGAGGAATCACCTTTTGTACTATATATGTAAAATAGTACGTTTGTTATCGAAACAGTAATTCGAAGAATATTCCATCTATAGTTATTATTTATTTAAATTTTTTCTCCTTTCTTTTCAAAATACATATTATGTTAACAATTTCCCTTATAATCCAAATTAATAATGACCCGCTCCTTTTATTTTTATTTTTATTTTTATTTTTATTTTTAAATTGTGAATATATATTTTAATATTAATTTTTCAAAATACCTATAGTACTTTATACTATCACACGATAGTAAATAGGGTATTTAAATGCATTAGGTATAATTAGTTTCTAAAATTGTTTCAAAATTCCAAAATTTCCCCACATTCACCAACTAAAATAATGAGGGGAGATTTTTTTTTGAAATAATTTTATTAAAATAATAATGCATTTAAATACCCTATTTACTATTGTGTGGTAATAGAAATTACTACAGGTATTTTGAAAAAAAAATATCATATTAACAATTTTTTTTTGTTAAAAAAAAAAGCCAAATAAAGGGGTAGGGCATTATTAATTTGGATTGTATTGTAAGTGAAATTGTTAACATAATATGTATTTCGGAAAAAACAGAAAATTATCAACAAAAAATTATAATAATAATAAATATAGACAAAATATTTATCGTGATACTTTTCCGGTGAATGGCGTACTATTTTGCACATAGTACAAAAGGTGGTACCACTAATAGCAAATAGTTGAATACGTATTTTTTTGCACACACCGTTGATAGTTGATATTATTTTAAGCTAATTTTCCTAATTATTTAACTTTAGTTGTCCCATGATATGACTTGAAGTTTCTTAAATAATTACTACTCCGTATCTTTTTATAACATATTATATGGGATCGACAAACTTCTTTTGACTCTAATGTGAAACTTAAATTACCAAAGGTGAACGTTACCAATAATAAATAAGTTATCAATATTTCTATGAATTGATTTTGACACATTTAAAATTGATTTTAATGCACCTTTATATGAAAAGAACGTAGAAGACATTATTTTTACCAGTAACTTTATAAATTGATTTTAACACACCTAAATTTAATTTGACGTATCTTTATATGAGAAAAACATAGAAAATTGTGTTCTAATAATAGATGTGTTTAAATTATTTGTCATAATATTGAATGTAAAATTAAAGATGTATAATAAAGAGATTAAAAATTTTTACCTGATGGATAAGCATGAGTATAACGGCAGCATCACGGAAACCCGACTTAGGTAAGAGAGAGAAAGCATTTGAATGGTTGAGAAGTTCATCACCAAAGGCCCAGTAGACAGCCGCAGCAGACGGAAGTGTTAGAGTGAATACATAGAGTGTGGCCAGCAGATAAATGTACTTGAACTTTTGAGGTTTCCACATGGCATGCATTATTTCCCTGTTTTATTTTTAATTAATTCAATCATTAACATAATAAATAAAATTCGCATCAATCTAATGAAGAGCTTTTTAAATACTTCTCACATTAAATCAATGTTATTATATGCCAATTGACCAAATTAATCATCATTGGTACATCGGATTCTTGGAGCAAGATTTATGCATATGATGGGCCGTCCTCTCTTACACAATTTGACTTAGCTCGGATCAATAAAAGTAATATGAAAATTTCAAATTTAACTTACTAAATATAGGAAGTGGACCTAATTTGGGGTTAACATAAACCAATTGTAGTATAAATGTGGTTTCTTATGTTTACTCGTCAATCGTTGTACCAGTGTAAACCATACCGAAATAAAACTAATACAAATATTGTGCAAACTTTTTATATTAGCTGAAATATCTAGTTAAAAGAGAAAACTTGTCTTTTACCAATTTAAATTGATACTCCATCCGTATTTTAATAAGTGTTATACTTTGACTTTTTTCACTATTTATATAATGATTTTGACTTGATTAATTTACTAAAATGTTACTTTATAATACATTGTTAGATTCATTATAATGTATATTTTCATAATATTAATTTTCATATAATTTTACTAACCACATAATTAGATAAATCAATGATCAAAGTCGTGTCTCGATATGCGTGTTTGGTCAAAGTGTAACACTTTTTTAAACACGGAGGGAGTGGATTTTTTGTTTTACAAACTTAAATAAAGTTTCTCTTACAAAAAAAAAAAAAGAATTTATTCAAAATGTTACTATTTAAAAATTATGTAGATATTACAAAAGCACTAAATCCTAATCCTATTGAGATCTACATTTCTCTATCCTACAAAAAATATTCACTTAGAAATTTGTTTAAGAGTACTAAATTTTTTTACTAAATCGGTACAAATTTTTAGGTAGATATCTAAAATGAATTTACTAGGGACTGCCATCGAATTATGAGAACAGCGGCAAAAGCTGGAAAGCGAAAGCGCGTACATAGAAGAAGAGAAGGATGCGGGGCACCAAATTGCCGAGCAAAGCTATTGAATAAAATATACCCATTCTATTTCTAATTTAGAAAAATTATTTTTAATAATCCCACCTTTGATCGATTCGCTATTAATAATCCCGCCTTTTGATTATAATCTAATAATCCCATCTTTATAGTGCATTCTCTTTTATAGGTCCCTAACCTGTTGGTAACCGATTTTAACAGGTTAAAATGCTACGTGCCACTTTATGATTAGTTGATAGATTTATAAAATAAAAAATTTTAAAAAAAAACTAAAGTTTAAAGAATAAAAAAAAATTTAACAAAAGTAACCCACCAGCGAACCCCAAACCCCCACACCACCCTAGCCCAAACCCTTCCGCATCCATCCCCTCCCCACGCCCTCCACCCTCCGAAAACCTCCCTCCCCACCTCCCACTACTGGATACCCTTTCCCCACCCTCACCCAACGAAAATCGTCTGCTCTTGTTAGTTGCAGGAAGTATGAGCGAATTTGATGGTGCGATGGTGGAGCGAACATCGGGGTTGCGATGCTTCAATAATCACAATTTGTTGGGTGATCGAATTTGCGTTGGCATTGATGTGCTTAAGAGTTGCATGGGTGGCGCGACGGTGGTTGCGATGTGCGATTGGAGTGGTTGGGTTGCTGCTATCCGCTTTTGCATTGTTGATGTTGAGGGAGTACGAGTTGTGAGGGGGAGAGTGGCGAATGGGGAGGTGAAGTTTTGTGAGTTGCTGTTCAGAAAGTGCGGTGGTTGTTGTGGTTTTGTGGGTTGTGCCTGAGGAGGGAGGTGGCGAACAAGGAGGTGAAGTGTTGTGGCCTTGAATATTTTTTCTTATTATTTTTTTAGTTTTTATATTTTTTTTATCCACTCGTGTAGTGACACATGTCATTTAATAAATTAAAAAAAAAAAAAAACCCCAACGTACAGGTTACCGGTCACAAGGAACCAGTAGAAGAGAATGTCGTATAAAGGTGGGATTATTAGATAATAATTAAAAGATGGGATTATTAACAACGAACCGGTCAAAGGCGAGATTATTAAAAACAAATTTTCCTCTAATTTATCAACCCATTTACTACCTTCCCAAAAAAATTGCATCGTATCAGTTTATTCAGAATTCAATTCTACTTCATTTAGTTCTCAACATAATTTAAGCAAATTTATCTATCACTTATTATAACCTTAATTAAATAAAAATAATAAGATTCCTTCAAAAAAAAAACAAAAAAATAATAAGATAGGATAATTTGAAATTTGTAGAGAAAATATTTTAAAATTTATGATTTTAGAAAAACTAGCGTTTAATCAGACGATGTCCTTGATACTTTGAATATTTATTTGTGTTATACCGAGTAATATTTTATGTATTAGATAAAAGAATTTAAATTTTAATGTTTAGTATTTTTAATGTTCATAATCGTCTTAAACATCTTTATTTATTTAACTTTAACAAGCACCAATTTATATATTGTAAAGAAGACACCCTACATGTTTCAAATTAAACTATATTAAAAAAATTTCTATCTAATATGAGCAAATAAGTTAACTTTTTTATTTGTTACTTAATGGTTTGAGTAAAAATATTGCCGGATAAAAGATAGAAGTCTTACACAGTGACAGCATGTCCACCAAAAGTATACAATATGTTAGTGGCGCCCGTAAAATACAGCACTAGCTTCGATGGCCCGGAATGTGTTACCCCTTCAACCTGCACGCATGAGTGCACAAACGCAACACATAAATATTTTAATATTAACTTAAAATCTTAAACTGTAGAAAAGCCCCTTTATTGTATTATTCCGGCTGGAAAAAAATAAAAATGTTTTCCCGTTTAATATTGCCTTTTTGGCCTATTTTATTTTGACTTATATGTTCATACTGTTTAATGTATATAATCGGTCAACTTTTCTAAGTGGTTACTGTCCTAAAAATATGATTGTTGTTAATTACTTTGGATCACCTATAATCGTGCTTTCGCTTATTGAGGTTAAGATTTTGACTATAATATTATACTATAAAAGAATACTCCAATGTTATATTCATTTTACAAATTACAATTGTTCAATTCCATGACTTACAGTTAATAAAATATCATTCTAATAAGATCTAATTTCTAACTGCATTGAAAATAGGAGTTTAGTAGTAGTTATTTGTCCAATCATTTAGTCAATAGTTTCAAAATCAAGCATGAATTTTGAAATTATTAAATAATCGAAATTTATCTACCTCAGTTGAATTGAAAATTTTACGGTACCAATTAATATAATACCGATTTAGTTTAGTCTTTCATACTCGAATTTTAATTTAACTGTACCTGTCCATGGACGAGAGATGCAATGGCCATGTACCAAGCCGTGTAAGTAGTCATGCCAAGGCCAAGAAAAGACCAAAGGCGGTAGTTATGGAAAGAGGGGATGAACACAGTTGTAGCACAGCATGCTCCGAATATGTAAGTCCATGTGCGTTTGTCCAAATGGTCATTGATGTAGTATATGTTACTGTTACAATGTTTCCAAAATACAAGAATCAGCCAAAAATTTTGTTCCTTGTAATCATGATCACTTAAGGCATTGTTTTTTTCCAATTTAATAAAAAAATCGGAAAAAATAAGTTCAAATCATGACTACCGAAGTTTAACTAAAACTAAAATAAGTTCGAGTATATGATCTAACCTTGCACAAGCAATGAGCTGAATAACAGATCCGAAGCAAAGGAAAATTACATTGAAGGCTAGACCCACAGCTTTCCAATAGGGTCCCAATAATCCATCCAGAACTTCAAACCACTGTTAAAATAAATACAAACACAGTTAATATTTTTAACAGAAAAAAATTGATCAAATGTAGGGTATAACATAGAAGCAATAATGATGCAAAAATGCAGACATACACACCTGAATGACATGGTTTTTGAAGTTGACACCTTCCTTCTCCTTCCGACTCCGGTACTCAACATATAGAACACTAATGAGATACGCCGTCCAGCTGCCCAGAAAGCCGTAGAATATCTGAAGTAGTATTCCCGAAAGCATCCCTAATTGCGAAAACGAGTATGGAAGAGTAAGTAGCACTTGTGCCACCTGCATAAACAATTAGTTCAATCAATAAAGCAAACTCTAATCCATTGTAAGGTACTTGTATTAAAAAATCATAGGAGGATTACTTGATTCGAAGCACAACTGAACCAGGCATCCCAAACGGAACCACCGTGCCAGAGGAAACTCTTCAGGCCAAACATCGACTGATCATCCTCTTTGCTGCCATCACCACCTTCCTTATTGTCTATGTTACTCTCATTATCGTGAAAGTTCGACACGATTGATTCCTCACCCTGCTTTTCGGTTAACATTTTTATTTTCCTTGTCTTTCACGGGCTGATGCCTAGGCTAGATCTGTATCATACAACAATCAGAATTATAATCAATCAAACCAAACGGATCTAAATGAACGAAATAAGACAAAATGGGAGAATATATGTATAGAGAAATAAGAATTATACATTACCTTGTTGTGAAATGTCACTATCTCACGCTAAATATTTGATGCAGGAGAATTAAGATCAAATCTTGTATTGTAACTCCTTATATAAGCAACTTCTGGTTTAAAAAGAGAACAGGAGATGAACAATTAATAGGACAATAATTACAGCAGCTGAAATTGCAGTGGAGAAAACGAAAAAGCTTTAATAAAAGACCAAATTGTTTGACAAAAAAGAATTAAAAATATAACGGGGTTTACGGAAGACTAAAGAATTCTTACTTTTTGAAGCACAAAAAAAAAAAAAGAAAACCCAAATTAAATGCGCCACAAATTTGCAGAAAGCTAAGCACGAATACGGCTGGAGGAGCCCCCCTTAAGGAAAGCACAATCAATCGCACTGCCGCTTCACCAGTATTGCTTGATTTATTTAATTTGTGTGTTTACGCTTGGGTTTGTTTTTTGCAGTGCACTTGGAGAATGCAGTAGTGTATTGATCTCGAGAGAAAATAAAAAGGGTCTTTATGCTTTCTGTTAACAGCAACTCGCTGTATAACGCTTCTACGGAGTAATAAATGTAATCTACTCTATTTAACATGGACTGCCAGGATGGAGTACTTCTTACATAAAGGGTATAGTATATCTTATTTAACCGTTAAAGGATATGTTATTCATACCTTCACACCAACCCTTACACCCTTTTTTAAGTGATATATATTAATCAATACCATTATTCGGTCGGTCAGGGTTACTTAGTCTCGATCGGCCAGGAGTTACTCTCACACTGAAAACGCGCTAATCGGCTGAGTATTCCCAGAATAGTAACCCTTGATTGACTAAGTAGCCCCTAAATAAATAACCCTTAAATAGTGTGGCCACCCACACTGAAAAAGCACTGTTGTATTAATAGTAATTGGAAAAAAAAAATCTTTTAGTCAAACAGAATTTTTAATATGTTAATTACATAATGATTTCTTTCTATACATATGTTAAAAGTATGGAAAATAGGATATCATTTAATACAAAAATATATATATATATATATTTATATATATTTATAGAGTATCTTTGTTACCTAATATTAATTATGTTAAAATAATTCTAAGGTAAAATAACTATAAGAAAATACAATAACTCGATATATTCTATTAAATTAACATATTAAGGATGTGTTCTCTTGAACTTATTATTTGAACTGAGCTTATCTGAATTTATTAGATCTATTAAACTTATTAGACCTTATTGAACTTAATTATTAGACCTAATTAAACTTATTAGACCTAATTGAAAGGGTCTGTTCTATTAAACTTATTTTCACTTATTTCAGGTCCTTAGATAAGATCTGTGAAGTTAAGATAAGTTCAGTTCAAGAAAAATAAGTTCAGATAAATTATAAGTTTTAATAAGTTCAGTTAAGCTCAGATAATTAAGTGAAAATTAGGAGAATATAACACACCCTTATTGAAATTAATTGGACCTTATTGAACCTTATTAAACCTTATTATATTATTAGACCTAATTAAGGTGTGTTCTCTTCACCTTATTGAACTTGAACTTATCTGAACAAAACTTATTTGAACTTAAACTGAACTTATAAGACCTTATTAAACCTTATTAAACTTATTAGACTTTATTGAACTTATTAGACTTTATTGAACTTAATAGACCTGATTGAACTTATTAACTTACCGAACCTTATTTAAACTTATTAGACCTTATAACGCCTTTATTATTTGACTTGATTAGAACTTCTTGGAACTTATTAAACCTTATTTAACTTATTGAAACCTATTATTAGACCTTATTTAACTTGTTGGAACATATTAGATCTTATTGAACTTATCTAAACTGAACTCATCTGAACTTTAACTGAACTTATCTGAACTTATAAAACCTTAAACTTATTAGACCTTATTGAACTTATTAAACTTTATAGAACTTATTGAAACTTATTTGACCTGATTGAAGTTATTAACTTATTGGACCTTATTTAAACTTATTGGACCTTATTAAACCTTATTACTACCTCCGTTAACAGTTATTTGCAACGATGGGACATTTTTCCTCTCTACTTTATGTCAAATCGTTGCAAATAACTGTTAACGGAGGTAGTATTAAATTTGATTAGAATTTCTTGGAAATTGTTAAACCATTTTAATTTATTGAATCTTATTAGACCTTATTAACTTGTTGGAACTTATTAGATCTTATTGAACTTATTAGACCTTATTGAACGTATTAAACCTTATTAAATTTATTGGACCTTATTGTATCTTATTTAAACTAATCTAAATTTATTAGGTCTGAAACTTATTTGTAGAAGATGAAGAGAACAAGCCCTTAGAACCTATTGGAACTTATTAGACCTTATTAAACTTATTGGAACTTATTAGACCTTATTAGATCTTATTGAACTTATTAGGCCTTATTGAACTTACCGCACCCAATAGTTTGTGCAGCGAGAAGGTAGCGCGAGTGGGAGTGGCAACAACATTGACACTCCATCCTTCCACCACCTGCAAAATCAAACACATTAAACCACAATCCAGATCTACATCGATCCCCAAAATCCCTAAATAATACTAAGAAAAAACGAAATCCCAAAAATCAAAGTGAAACAAATCACAAATTAAAACAAATAAATCCCCCAAAAACGAAAGACAAGGGTTTTGATTTGCGTAGGCTTGAACGGAGGTGACCTGGTGGTTGGTGATTTCCAGTGGGTTCGGCTTAAGGTAGAGGTGGTGGTGGGTTCGGTGGGTTCGGCTTAAGGTAGAGTTGGTGGTAGGTGGGTTCGGTAATTAGTGATTTGCGGTGGGTTAAGTGGGTTCGGCTTAAGATAGAGGTGGTGGTAGGTGGGTTCGGTGGTTCGGTGCAGTGGTTGGTAGTTGATGAGTAATCGGCGGATAATAGGTCGTGTCTACTAACTTAAATCAAATCAACAATTTATATTCCTAACCTAACTCTATCAAGTTTACACTAGATAACGGCAAGCTAGGGTCGAACCCACAAGGAAACGGGGTATTGCACAATCAAAGTGGAATTAAGAATCTATTGCAAGTGACAATGGGTATTTTGGTTTGTTTTTGTGAATTTCTAAAACTAAACTCTCTACCAAAAAGACTAAAACAAGCAAAACAAAGAAGTTCAAACTAGAAACACTAAAATAAAGAGGGAAAACAAGATTTTAAGGGGAATATGATCAAAAACACTAGGTAGGATGGGTTCCAATCATGATCAACTAAGACAACTATGATAATCATCATGGATTCATGCCAAGGAGTACAAACTCTACTCAAAATAATTCATTCTCATGCAATCACTGAAGCAAGTTGATGAAATAGATCAAACATAAACTAGATCATTCTCATGCATCTAATTTAGAACTCAAATATTGGAACTAAAGGTGCACAACAATAGCTCCAAGAATTTTAAGCACAAAATCATCAACTTAAGGCAAAACCCAATCAATCATCAATATCAACTCAACCAATCATGATTTTCACCCCCTTCCCTAGCTAGAAATCTAAGCTAGAGAAGAGAAGGTAGCCATAACAACAACACTAAACATGGATTCAATCCTAACAAAACTAAACATGATTCAAAACCAAAGAAAAGGTAATGAAACAAGTAAAAACAAAGAAATTTATGGAAATAAACACTATCAAGAGCAATAAAACCAAGAAAAAGATAAGGGTAAAGAGATTACTACTATGAATCTTGATGGATTAAGCAAACATGAACTAGTTGCATTGAAAAGATGAAAACTTGAAGAAGGCTCGAAAAGATCTTGATTTACAATAATGAAAACTTGAATGTTAAGCTACTTTCTCTCTCTAAAATGCTGATGTTTCTCTCACTACAAATGTTCTGGATGATATTCGAAAACAGAGAATCTCATGAAATTTCAATCCAAGGACTATTTATAGTCTCTTGATAAAACAAGGGTAGAAAGTGGGGGAGAGCCCTATCCAGGAGCTGCCGCTCCTACTCCGCCGTGGGTACGATCTTGGGAAGACCCAGCTCGTCGCGCCCTCTCTATCAACTGCCGCGCCCGCAGCTACCTAGGAGAGGCCTCTCCCAGTCTTCTCCCAGCCTTCTTCAGAAACTGAGATGTTCAGCTCAGAACTCGACCCGCGCTCGCGACCTTGATTCTCGTGCTCGCGGCCTTGTTGTGCGTTGTGCGCCCTCTCTCTTGACCATCTCCTCCTCTTCCTTAGCCTCAATAGCCCTTTTAGCTTCATCCTAAGGTTGCAAAAACCTTCAAAATCAACAAAGAAAAGATATAAAACAAAAGAAAAGATAAAAGAAGAGGAAAAACACAAGAAAGAACAAAAGTAACCAAAACAAAGGTAAAAATCGCTAGAGAAGGCACAAACACGTGACAAATGAGGGAAAATCATTAGTAAAAAGGGGTGAAATAGTGGTATAAATGCCGCTCATTAATGAGTGGAATTTATGCCACTATTTAGCCCTTTTGATTAATGATTTTTCCCCATATGTCACTTGTTTGCGCCTTTCTAGCTGTTTCTACCCTTGTTTTGGTTATTTTTGTTCTTTCTCATGATTTTCCTCTTCTTTTATCTTTTCTTATGTTTTATATCTTTTCTTTGTTGATTTTAAAGGTTTTTAGCACTCTTAGATAGAGTTAAAGGAGCTAATTTGGCTAAGGAAGAGGAGGAGATGCTCAAGAAAGAGGGCACGCAGCTCTGTAAGGAGCCGCGGGCGCGGGTGTTTAGGCCGCGAATGCGGGCAGTCTAAAGTGGAGCTCAACCTTGGAGAGGGCTCTCCCCATTCACTCGCGGGCGCAACACTTCATGACGCGGGCGCGACATTTTGAGGCCCTGATTTCCCTTGCTCCTCAGCCGCGGCCTCTGCCCAGCTGTGAGAGGCCTCTCCACCAACCACCGCGGGCGCGGCTTCCTGGGTTTTGCAGTTCCGTACCCAGCTTGGAGAAGGCGCGGCCTTGCTCGAGAGGGCTCTCCTTAGTTTGTTATTTTCGGATTTTTGATGCACTATAAATAGAATTTCTCTTGAATTTATGAAGGAGTCTATTTTCCAAATATAATTAGAACTTTGTAGTGACAAAAACTCTAGTATTTTAGAGAGAGAAATTTGCTTAATCTTCAAGTTTCATCATTGTAATCAAGATTTTCTCAAATTTTCTTCAATTCAATGCAAGTATTTTATGTTTTCTTCATCAATCAAGCTTCATAGTAGTAATTCCTTTACTCTTACCTTTTGTTTGGTTTAATTGCTTTTGATAGTGTTGATTTCCATCTATTTCCTTGATTTTACTTGTTTGATTGCTTTTTCCTTTGAATTTGAATTATGTTTAGTTTTGTTAAGATTGAATCCATGCTTAGTGTAGTTGTGATGGCTATTTTCTCTTCTCTAGCTTAGATTTCTAGCTAGAAAATGGGGTGCAGATCATGATTGATTGGGATTATGTTGATGATTGATTGGATTTAGCCTTGAGTTGATTATTTCGTGCATAAATTTCTTGGAGTTATTGATGTGCACCTTTAATTCCAATATTTGAGTTCTAAATTAGATGCATGGGAATGATCTAGTTTAGTTTTGATCTATTTTATCAATTTGCTTCAGTAA